ATTTCAGTGATGCAGTTTACTACACAGGCCCAGAAAACATGGTGACAGCCAACTGCAGGACAGGGACAGACACTTCTCCAACTGGCTCTCACCAACATCTAGGTCTCCTGAAGGTATGCTCTACTACAACTGCTCCAGAAGGCGCACACTGTGATGAGAGGCCATCAGGATTTACCCTTCAGGTAACAGCCAGCTCAGCTCACACACCCCTGCTCCCAGCTGGGAGATGGGTCAGTGTGAGTAAGGCTGTTTGCCAAAAGCACACCATTAGAGCCTGGGGCTGGGGCCAGGCCACCAGCAAAGCATGGAAAAAAAAAAAACACCCTGGAGTGCTAGGAATTCCACATCAATTAGTTTTGCCATGCCTGGTCACAACCACACATCTGAGGGTGATGGCAACAAAGGACATCTCAGAGTGACACAGTAACACAACATGGATCAATTACTCTCACAGCCCAATTTAAAGTCCTTTTAAGGCAGTAATTAGCTGCTACTATTATACTGAATATTCAGGAGAGCCAACGTGCATCCTGAAAGCAGTTGTTTTGTTTCCCTCCTCGCTCTATTTCCTGGTGGCAAAGCCCCAGCTTCAGTGAAGATACAGGTGAGTCTCAAAGGATGGGAACTTCTTCTGTGATCTTAGTTCCTCCAAGGACCAGTGGTCCCACAGCCCTCCCAGCAGACAGGAGAGACTGACAGAGCTCCAAATGTTCCCTGGCAATTATACACAACAGTTTCCTCAGCACTGTGGCCCTGCCCTCCCTGGAACACCCCTGGACAGCCCAGCACCTGGCACTGCTGCTCAGGGGACTGTCCTCATTCTTCTCTCCAAATGCACATGCCAAGCCCAATGCCAGACTCTTTGGGAACCTCTTATTTCAATTTACATCTCACTATGGTAAAATAATGGCATTGTACATCAGAAGCATGGAACTGAGCCAGCCTAAGAAGCTGACCTTTTTAAGGAATAATTGCAGACTTCTGGCAAGGGGCAGAGTGAGAAATGCCAGCACAGTCCTCCAGCATCTACTCACTGAATCATAGCCAACTTCACACCTTGTTTTCCAAATCCAGGTGGAGAGAGGAGAAACTGGTCATGGATTAAGCAAGAAGTTTCAGAGAGATGCTATTTTCAGAAAAATACTCTGATAGCCACAACTTCTCTCCAGACAAATTTTGCCAAGGCTGCCAGACTTGTATAGACCATGAGGAATTCAAAGACATAACCACACAACAGACTCTGGACAGAGAACAGAGGAAGTAATTTGCTGCAGAACAACTTTTTGCATCCAGTAGAGTTTTACTAAGGCTGAAGAAAGGAAAAAGCCTCCGCAAAATTCAACTACTACAAGAGGGACAAAAGAAAACACTTCCTCGAGCTACAGAAACTGCAAATATCCAAGAAAGTATGTTACTTCCAATGTTAAAGTTTAGGTGAATAAATATCAAAACCATGTCACTGAAGACTGAAAGAGGAGGGAGAGGGAACCATCCCAGCTCTTCTGACTGTCAGGCTGGCAGTTTTCACTTTGCATGATGCTTTTAAAAGCATGTATTAGAAACCAGCAGGTGAATTTTCATCACTGTCCCCATCACTATCTTGACCTTGACTGTCCAAAAGGACTTCAAAATCCATTCCCAACAAGGGAGTGTTGTGAGAGACTTTCACACCACCAGAGCCCTGCAGTGACAGGAAAGTGGCTCCAGTACCCCCAGCACAGCCCTCCCAGCAGACAGGAGAGACTGACAGAGCTCCAAATGTTCCCTGGCAATTATACACAACAGTTTCCTCAGCACTGTGGCCCTGCCCTCCCTGGAACACCCCTGGACAGCCCAGCACCTGGCACTGCTGCTCAGGGGACTGTCCTCATTCTTCTCTCCAAATGCACATGCCAAGCCCAATGCCAGACTCTTTGGGAACCTCTTATTTCAATTTACATCTCACTATGGTAAAATAATGGCATTGTACATCAGAAGCATGGAACTGAGCCAGCCTAAGAAGCTGACCTTTTTAAGGAATAATTGCAGACTTCTGGCAAGGGGCAGAGTGAGAAATGCCAGCACAGTCCTCCAGCATCTACTCACTGAATCATAGCCAACTTCACACCTTGTTTTCCAAATCCAGGTGGAGAGAGGAGAAACTGGTCATGGATTAAGCAAGAAGTTTCAGAGAGATGCTATTTTCAGAAAAATACTCTGATAGCCACAACTTCTCTCCAGACAAATTTTGCCAAGGCTGCCAGACTTGTATAGACCATGAGGAATTCAAAGACATAACCACACAACAGACTCTGGACAGAGAACAGAGGAAGTAATTTGCTGCAGAACAACTTTTTGCATCCAGTAGAGTTTTACTAAGGCTGAAGAAAGGAAAAAGCCTCCGCAAAATTCAACTACTACAAGAGGGACAAAAGAAAACACTTCCTCGAGCTACAGAAACTGCAAATATCCAAGAAAGTATGTTACTTCCAATGTTAAAGTTTAGGTGAATAAATATCAAAACCATGTCACTGAAGACTGAAAGAGGAGGGAGAGGGAACCATCCCAGCTCTTCTGACTGTCAGGCTGGCAGTTTTCACTTTGCATGATGCTTTTAAAAGCATGTATTAGAAACCAGCAGGTGAATTTTCATCACTGTCCCCATCACTATCTTGACCTTGACTGTCCAAAAGGACTTCAAAATCCATTCCCAACAAGGGAGTGTTGTGAGACTTTCACACCACCAGAGCCCTGCAGTGACAGGAAAGTGGCTCCAGTACCCCCAGTAGCTCACAGCCACTGCTCTGCCCGGCAGCCTCCACCAGCCTCCTGCACAAACTGGGCCACATCCTGCTCCTCCTCAGGCTTTATTTACAGTCCAAAACCCGATCCAGCCCTTCACTGTGCCTTTCTATCAGCTATCATCCCCAGCAACAGCTCCCATCACCTCTCTCTGCACCCCAAGCGTGAATCCAACCCGCTTTTTGTCCATCTCTTTTAAAAACAGAAGTGTGCAGAGACATTTTTCACTGAAACACATACAACACGGTGAGAAAAAAAGCCCTAATTCTGACCAGGGCCTCAGAATACCACAGAGATATCCGGAAGCACCAACGCAGAGGGCAGGCCACAGCCGTGTGGGACACCCCTGGTGCTCCGATCCCGGGGACCGAGCTGCCCAGGCCGGCGGACACCGTTCCACCGGGGCTACGAAGAGGAGCCCGAGCCTGCAGCCAGATGCGAGGGCACCCCGGG